ATTCCTGAGTGTGTGTACAAGTGGGTCTCTGCATCTATATCTGTTTCTTGTACCATTTTCATCTGTTTTGGCCTATTCGAATTGGTTTGTGCTTGTTTTTTTCTTTTATAATGTATTATATTAAAATGTATTGCATTACACTCCCTTAGATGTCTGTTTGCTTTCTAACAAGAGACAGAAAGGGAGTGGGTCCAGATGGGAGGAGAGGTGGGTAGAAACTTGAGAGGTAGAGTGAAGAGAAACTATATTCAGGATATATTGTATAAAAAAAACTATTTTCAATAAAAGAAAAAAGAACTAGAATATATCACAAAATGAATTTTAATAAAATAACTATTATAAAATAAGTGTGATATATTTAGTGTGGAATTCAAAGGGAAATTTAGCACTGAATACTTATAGGAATGTTTAATAAATAATGAAAACAAAAGAATTAAGTATATACCTAAAAAGTTGAAAAGTAAAAATAAAGGAAGAGGAAAATACAGGTAATTAATAAAGATAAAAGCAGAAATTAAAAGTTAAAAATAAACAAAATAAAACATCATTTAAGGCTAATCAAAAATGTCCATAATGGAGAGAAATTTCTTTAAAGAGAAAGGATAATTATGCAAAATAAAGAATACATGAAGCAATTGTTATAAAAGAGAAATGTTACTTAAACTTCAAAGAATAAGTAATCTCAACAATTACTTAACCCTTGTGCAGAAGAAAGGAGAAAGGGCATGGAGATGGCTCAGTCTGTAAAGTGCTTGCTGCACTGGCATGAGGACCTGAGTCAGGTCCCCAGAATTCTGGGTCCCCAGAATGCATATCAAAAGCTGGATGTCATGGCAGGTCTTGATAATCCCAGTGCTGGGGAAGCAGAGATGAGCAGGCATCTGGGGCCTACTGGCTAGCTAGTCTATGTTAATTGAGCCCTAGGTCCCAGTGAGATACTCTGCCTCACAGAACAATGTAGACAGCTCCTAAGAAAAGACCCCTGGCCTCAACATGCAAGTACACAAATATGCATTAACACCATGGTGATATTTTGTGTTTTAACAAATAAAGCTTGCCTGAAGATCAGAGTGTAGAGCTAAACCACTAGAGGTCAGGGGGTACACACCTTTAATCCCAGGATTTGGGAGACAGAAGCAGAATGATCAAGGCCACCCTGGGCCACAAAAGATTGAATTTGTATAAAAGAGAAACAGAGCACACACAAAGGTGATAATTGCACTTGGGATCTCATGCCTTTAATCCTAGCACTAGGGAGGTGGAGACAGGAGTGATATGGTTGGGTAGGGAGAGGAATATAAGGAGGAAGGAGACAGGAGCTCAGTGCAATCTGAGGCAACAGTCTGAGGCAGTAGTCTGAACATTCATTCTGAGGATGCAGTCCGAGGGCAGGATCGCCCCTTTGACCTGAGCACTGGTAGATGTAAGAACTCTAGTGGCTGGTTGTTCTGCTTCTCTGATCCTTCAGCTTTTACCCAGATAGTTGACTCTGAGCTTTTATTATTAAGACCAATTAAAAATCATGCTACATGTACCCACAAAACTCTCTCTTCTCTCTCTCTCTCTCTCTCTCTTTCTCTCTCTCTCTCTCTCTCTCTCTCTCTCACACACACACACACACACACACACACACAGAAAATAAAAGGAAGGTAAACTATAAAATATTGATCATTTTTTAATATAAAAATGTTCAAAAGAAGAGATACAACAAAATTAAAAGTTAAATTGAGAAACTATTTGGATTTTGTATCAAAAAGTCAGTATCAATACATGACAAAGTTCTACAATATGGATACCTTATTGCACAGTGTACAAAAAATTAAGTTTTTAAATATATGTAAAAAGGTTTTTTTAAAATATTTATTTATTTATTATGTATACAATATTCTGTCTGTGTGTATGCCTGCAGGCCAGAAGAGGGCACCAGACCTCATTCCAGATGATTGTGAGCCACCATGTGGTTGCTGGGAATTGAACTCAGAACCTTTGGAAGAGCAGGCAATGCTCTTAACCACTGAGCCACCTCTCCAGCCCTGTAAAAAGGTTTTGAATATAACTTATAGCACATAGAGTGTAAATTGGTGTGGGAGAATTGTCTGTATTCTGTCAATCATGTTTTAAATAAATGCTCATTGACCAGGCAGGAAATATAGGCAGGAAAACCAGACAGGAAGTAGAAATGATGCAATGAGAACAGGAGAATTCTGGGAAGGAGGAAGTTGATTCCTCCCACTCCTGCCCAGACTACCGAAGAAGCAACATGTAATCTGCCCAGCTGAGAAAGGTACTGAGCCACATGGCTAGCATAGATAAGAACAATAAGTTAATATAAGCTACAAGAGCTAATAAGAGGATAGAGCAAATGGACCAATCAGCTTTATAACTTATAGAGATCTCTGTGTGATTTTCTTTGGGGCTTGCCGGCTGTGGGAAACTAGGTGGGACAGAAAACCCCAACAAGCAGGCCCCCTTCATGTTACAGTAAATTGTAACATTTACATATCCCTTTAATCTATTAATCAGTTATAAGTGAAAAGCACAACCATTATTTGAATGTTATTTAGAACTTGAAGACAGAAACCATGGGAATATCTACAAAAATTGAACACGGATGGCTCAGCGGTTATGAGCACTGCTTTTTCTTCCAAAGGTCCTGGGCTAAATTCCAAGCAACCACATGTAATGAGATCTGATGCCCTCTTGAAGACACCTGTTCAGTTGTCCTCATCAACTTAGACCATGAAACCCAATATGGAAAAGTTCAACAGAACTGCCATATATGGCCTGCCCATGTATGCTTCAGCATTGCCAGGGCATAAATTTCATTCATTTCATATAATCTTTGACCACCAAACCCTAATTTTACAAATTTATTTCTTAGATACATTTACACAAATTTAAAATTTGGTTAGGTTTCTCTCTGCATCAGTTTGTAGTAGCAGAAGATAGTTAACAAGCTCAATGTATTTGATAGTTGAACTGATTAGATAAATTATGATATATACATCCAATTAAATTTTATACAACTATAAAAATAAAGGAATGGTCAATTTAGTGAATGGAACACAAACTATACTGAAAGTTGATGCAAGCATGATTATAATAATCTACATAAAACAGGACTAAAATGGATCTTTTTTGTTTTCAAACATAATTGTCTAGAAAAATAAATAAAAATATAAAATCATATTTAGCTTTTCAGTAGGATAGAAATGCACAAAGACAGAATGGAAGAAAGAAGTCAATGTTTATTATTCAAATTCAAATTAAGGGAGGAAATTTCAAGTTTGGTTGGTACAACAATCTGTTATAAGGTATTGAACTATATGAAAGATTGTCAGTTATAAGAAAATATGACCAAAGTAATATTTTAAGGAAGTTAATTCTGCAACGTGATATAGAGAATAAACTGTAGGGAAGTTTAAAATGCAAAATCATTTGCCAGAACATTTTTATGTGATTCTAGGTATGAGGCAATGATTTCTTAAATTACAATGGTGCCATTGAGGATAGAAAAAGAAGGTTTGCATTAGGCAATCAAAATGAAATCGATATGGGGCTGGAGAGATAACTCTGTGGCTAAGAGCACTGCTCTTGCAAAGGAAGAAGTTTTGCTCCCAGCATATACACGACTGCTCAAACTACTTCTTGATATTTGCAGTATCAGATCTGATTCCCTTGTCTGGCCTCTCAAGCTTCTGTACATATGTGGTACACATATATAGCAATAAAATAAGAATATGAAAAGATCTTATTAAAAGAAAACTTCACATAGGACACAAGAGCAAAGAAAAAGAATTAGCAACTTGAGAAAGATACAACAATTGGAAGAAATGTAAAAAAAATTTAAAATCCAAATACACGACTTAAAAAGCATTATTAAAATTCTAACATTTTCATATACAATAAATAATGTAAATAAAAAGTAGTGATATCTTTTGCTCTTCTGAGAAAAATAGTTTTTATATTGCTTGGGCCCAAACCTAGGGCCTTGTACCTGCTAGGTAAGCACTCTACCATTTCTCTACACCTCAATCTCTTCTGATTTTTTTATATTTCTTTTAAAATTTTTTTGGTTTTTTTATTGATTTTTATTGAGCTCTACTTTAATCACTGCTCTCCTTCCCCCTTCAACCCTCCCTCAATGTCCCCATGCTCCTAATTTACCCAGGAGATCTTCAAATTTGGTAGGAATGGATCCATCCACTATCTAAGATATAACCAAAACTTTATCCACTGTTATATTATCATTATAGAAAATTCATAATTGCCAGGCGGTGGTGGCACACACATTTAATCCCAGCACCTGGGAGGCAGAGGCAGGTGGATCTCTGTGAGTTCGAGGCCAATCTGGTCTACAGAGTGAGTTCCAGGATAGGCTCCAAAGTTACAGAGAAACCCTTTCTCAAAAAACTAAAATAAATACAGATAGACAGACAGGAAGGGAGGAAGGAAGGAAGGAAAAGAGAAAGGAAGGAAGGAAAAAAGGAAGGATGAAAAAAGAAAAGAAAATTCAGAATAATTTTAAATAATTTTCAAAAATTTGTGAGATAACATATAATCAGATTTTTTAAAAAATAGACAACCACTCAGAATCCTACCATGCTGAGATATTTATTAATTTATTTATGTACTTTCAATATTTATCTCCAGGAGTCTCTTTCCTCGTGGTGTTACATGGATACTTAGTGGTCTCACACTTTGTCTTGAAGATGTTTTATTTCATGCCATATTAGACTTCATTTAAATTTATCAATAAATAAGCATGCCATGAATAGTGAACCAGAAGCATGCTATAATTTTTTTCTGCACCTACAGTTTATATTTCTCACAAATTTAACTACTCCAATAGATGATAAAGTTTTGTATCTTTGGAAACAAAGCTACTTATGAATAAATTCCAAAAACTGAATTAACTACTAATTTTAAAAGAATCATGAAAATGTATCAAAAAATACTATAGTAATTACCAGAAGCTTGAAAAATACCACTATGTTTACCTGAAGTGGGAGACTTGCAGCGCTCAAGTTCCAGGGGAACTGGACTATCGTTCAGCTCTGTTAAGCCTGAAAATGTAATAGGGGGAGGGGAGGGAGAGAAAGAAAAGAGATAAATTTGGTGACACTTCATGGGTAATTCTTTGTAATTGCTTCAAACTTTTTTAACCTGTGAAAACTACCCTATTATACCCATCTTACACAAATTATTTTGAAAAACCTCTGATACAGGAATGTATAAATGACAGCAACTTACTATATACAAGGAGTAATTAAACACAGATGGTATAAAAATAAGAAATCTTTTTATTATTTACACTTTAATAAATGACCAACTTCCTTAACAAATATACCAAGAATAATAGAAAATAGAAAGTGCTTTAAAAGACTTAATACAATCTCTTACTTCAGGAGGTATTGATTTTTAAAAAAAGATCTTTTAAGAGATATTACAAATTTACAAATTTTATAATTTTTTTAGTATTATGTATATATAACTATATACACACATATGTATATGACTTATTTAATGTCATCAAGTTACAACAACACTATCATTCTTTTATTACTAGTATTTCTTACTTTCCATTTTATCACTTTCTGGACAAATACAAGGGTAAGGCAGGAAGGATTAATAAATGGTTTGTGGTTCTCATGATCTGCAATTCTGCATTCTTATTCATAAAATATCCTTCATCATAGCTTCCTCTTCTTGATGAATCACCTCATGTATTTTTCATTTGTTTATAATTGTTCGGTTGGCACTTATATCTATGTCTGCACACCCAGAAATATTTGAGGGGTATTGTGAACAATGAAATTTGATTTTGTTCCTATTCTGTCACCTTTTCTTTATGCTGTTTATGTCACAAATACCAGAAGTGCCACTGTGGTTGGAATGTAACGTGTTTCCATGTTAGTCTCAACTGTGGCACGGTTTGGGACGGTTATAGAGCCTTTAGGAGGTGGATCCTTGCTACACGAGTATGCTACTGTGGGAGGGCTTTGGGATTCTATACTCTGTCTCTTTCCTGTTCTCTTTCTGCTTCTCACTTCTGTGTAGCCTCCTGCGTCTGCTACCATGCCTTGCCATAATGGACTGAAGCCCTTCTACAACTGTAAGGCAATATAAACCCTTCCTCTTTCAACTTGCTTTTGTCGGGGTACCATAGCAACAGAAAAGAAATGAAAACAGAAATTTGTATCAAAAGATGGGCAATTTCTGTGGTAAGTAATTGCTCTTTATGCCTTTGTTTTGTGGGAGTAATGTGGAAGATTTTGGAACTTTGAGCTGGAAAAGAGCTGAATGCTGTAAGCAGAGCTTAAGTTGGGGTTGTCCTAGTAGGAACTTGGAAGATAGGAGTGCTAAGAGGAACACAGAGAGTGCAGGCAAAGCTCATGAGAAGCAAGGACTCATCAGGAATGGGGCAAGGGGCACTTGTATGATTTTGATTATGGAATTGCATCCACTCTGCCCATGTCCTGAGAATTTGCAAGAGGCTGCATTAAGAAGTAATAGACGGATTCTTTTGGTAGAGGAGATTTTAAGGCAATGTAACATTCAGTTTGCACAGTTTATTGTGAATGATTACACATGTTTACAATGAAAAAGAACGAGTGGGGCAAAAACATTAAATGCGCAGTTTGCAGAGTTAAAGAACACTAGGAAGGAGTTAAAGGGATTTGTCACCTGTTCTGCATGGGGAACAGCAGGAAAGGTGTTCTGACCTCATTCATGAAAGGCTCCAACTCACAACAGGAGAAAGTACAAGGGATTTCCTGCTCCCAGAATGTCAGACCCTAGAGGAGTGGTTCTCAAACTGTGGGTTGCAACCTCTTTAGGTGTTGAACAACATTTTTACAGGGGTCAGACATCCTGTATATCAGATATTACATTATGGCTTATAACTATAGCAAACTAAAGTTATAAAGAAGCAGTGAAAACATTTTATAGTTAAGGGTCACCACAACATGATGAACTACATTAAAGGTTGCAGCATTAGGAAGTTTGAGAACCACTGCCCAAAGGTTTTTGTGTTTTGTTTTTTAGCTCTGGCATGCAGAGGTTATTGTAACTGTGTTCCAAAGGGACTATATTCTATTTTAGCTGGAAGCAGAACTTGGGAGTGTTAGCCACGTGGTACTGGTTTGGGGGGGGGGCTGCATGAGAGATACAGGATTGAGGGGATCATGGATTCGCCTTCCATGGTTTCAACCTTTGAGGCTAGGCAATGTGTGGCAGGGTTAGCATACCTACATGAAGGCCTTCAGGGGCCATTGTGTGACGATGAAGCCCAAGTTAGGATGGAGTGATGGAGACATAAAGATGTTGAATATGCCAGAGTCAAGGGATACCTGCCAAGGAGGGCTAAATACAGAAGTACAAGTTGCCCTGGACAGAGATCATACTACAGGAAGCACATACGTAGGAGTGGAGTCACCTCAGCCCTATGAAACTAAAGCTCTAGATACGGCACATGGAGATACAGGGCTTTTGTGTCCTTGCTAGGTTTTGCTCTTACTTTGGGCCAATCTATCCTCACTATGTTCTCATTCCTCCATTTTGGAATGGAAATGTATGCTTTGTGCCATTGTTAAATTAGAAGAATGAAACTGATTTAATTCTACAGGGAGTTGCACTTAGGAGACTACCTTGAGTCTAAGAGGAGTCTAAGACTCTTCTAAGATGAGACCTTTAAACACTGGTATAATTATTAAAGTCTCTGGGGTTTTTTGAAGTTGTACTAAATGCATTTGCATCATGAGATGAACATGAACACATGGGGGCCAAGGACAGAATTTTATGGCTGAAATGTAAAATGTCTCCAATAGGCTCTTGCATTGACTACTTGGTCCCAGCTGGTGGTGCTGTCTGGGAAGGTTTGAGAATCTTTATTGGTGGAACCTTGCAGAAGGAAGTGTGTCCCTGGGAGAGAATCTTGAGGTCTTATAGGCTGGCTCCTGGGCAGCTGCATTCCCTGTGGCCACACCTTCCCTGCCATGGTGGACTGCATCATCCCCTGAACTGTAAGCTGAAATAAACCCTTCCTCTCCTAAGTTGCTTTGTCGGATTGTTTTATCACAGCAGCAGAAAATAAACTGGCATAGGAATAGAAAAAAAGAATCCTCATAGAATTTGCAACTGAAAATGTAATGTCATATTATGAAAATGTGGCTTAACCCCTATGTTCACAGGTGAGAAACTGTAAGATCAAAGAGTAAATACTTTTTGAGTAAACAAATTCACAGTTGTAAATCAACGATAGAGCTTAAACAGAAACCAACCTACAATTATAGTTATTTGTCATTTATAGGCAGAGCATGTTCTGAGAGACATATCACTAGATGATCCTGATATTGGACACACGTCACACATTGCACTTATACAAACCTGGATGGAATAGCCTTTAAAATATTCAGTGTATATGAGCAATTCCTCCTTGTCTGCACACTTTTAACAGTATGTTACTGTACTATTGCCACTGTGACACAATTGTGTTTGTGTTTCTAAACATACAAATGGTAGGGTAAAAATTCAAGGTCACAGGAATCATTTTGCTCCTTCATATTCTCAGTCCAACATTCTTGATCAAAATGAACTTAATGGTAAAACTATTTCCATGTGTCAAGTTACAATGTATCCTAAACTCATCCTGAAGAATTTATAGTTATTATTACTTAATACAATTATTAAACAATAGCCATTTTGAAATACACATTTTTTCTGACTATGGAAATAGTGTTCTGTTTTTATAGAAAATAGGCAAGTGACTGAAGAGATAATTACAACCTACTTTTGACTCATTTTCTCCCTATATGATTATTTTAACGTAACAATATGTTTCATATTAATATTTTATGTTAGCTATTTTATAAATATTTTTTCATTTCATCTAAAGTTGACAAGTCATCATAGTGCTTTCATAGTTTGTATGTGGTCTTATATAGTATAATAATGCCAATCCAGGCACATGTGCTGATTCCCATTGCCTCACCTCTCTAAGAATTTTGTTCCTTTTATCATCTCCCCTTTTTCCTTATCACAGATCTTTCTAAAGAGTTTACTTCATGTTCATGCAACATAATGACATGATACTTCCTTTAAAATGAGAATGAAAAGTTTCTTTTAACGACTTATCCAATCCAAGTAGTGAGCATTTGTTCACACCCTTCAAAGCCACGAACTCTGAAAGTGGTGCGATTTAGTCTTGGTTTTTTGTGTTGCTCTTCTGCTTATTGCTAGGTAAAGGAGTCACTGTGTTTTCACCAGGACCTTCCTTCCTTTTGCTAAAGTCCAGAAACTATCATCACATGGAAGTCTTTTGGGGGTTCATCTCTTTTGTTACCATTTACCAGAGATAACCTTTCAAACATCACTTTAAGTCATATATTTAAAAAAACAAACCACTGTTTCCTTATTTTATCATTTAAAAATATTGACTTTGGTTATTTCTGGCAGTAAGTCCAATGTAGTGCCTTGACTCTAGCTTGTTTGGAATTGGAACTCCAGAGCTCTGAGTGCTGCCTTGTTATCTTGCAAACCTTCACTTGTGTAGTTCCCCCCGAATAGGCTTTTCTCTGGTAAAACAGAAAACCCAGGACTATAAATCGCCTCTTATCTCATTTCTCCACCATGGCACTGCCACCTTTCAGTCATACGAGTCTATCTGTAGATTTATTACCTGTACTGTCGAGGAACTTCAAGTGAAAGACAGGGACTGTTTCTCTCACTACAGTATACTCAGTGCCTGTGAAAGTTGTTCAACTCAGCAGTTAGGGTTACTGCATCTAATTACGCCATGTTCAGTTGATATATTTGGGAGGCCTGCTCTTTTTCTGAAAGGAAAAGGAGGAGCAGTAGAACTGGTGTGGGGAACTAGGAGGAGTGGAGGGAGAGGAGGTTGTAGTTGGGATATATTGCATGCAAGAAGAATAAATAAAAAAGAAAAATTAAACAAGTGGATCTTTTGTTAATCAGAATTTATGCTAATAGTGTTTCAAACACTCCTTTCCTTGTCCCTTTTCCATTTACTTTTCTTCCATTCTGTATTCAGATGTTTATTTTTGCCTTTCCTTACTGATTCCCTTACATTTACCGTCTCCTTTTCTTTATAGTTAGCCTCTTGTCTCATTTTCTTGTTTTTTCTTACTTACAATTTGAGGATATCCTGCCATTCCCTAATCAGAAAAATCTCATTTGGTAACATTGAAAAACTGGAATCTCAAAGTATCCCTTTTTGTATAATTATATGTTGATGCACAAGCAAATGTTTCTAGCCACACTTTACCTTAAATGTATCTTCAAACTTTCTTTGACTTACATGGCATACAATCAATTTTAACCTGGCAACGTTTCTGACATTCTCAGAAACAAAACTCAAGGCACTAACAGGCAGATGGAGTTTCAACCCTATGACTTCCATACAATGATCATGATGATGGAGGTTACTTAACCATCTGCTTTTCGATTGTATCACACATTAATCATAAACATATCTGATATGTCTGATAAATGTGCTAATATGTCTAATAGTGATAGAGTTCTTTTACAAGATCAACCAGGAGAGTACTGCAACTCTTTAAGGGGGAGTAGAGATGATGACTTTTATGCTATTTTATAGATGAGAAGAAATCTCAGTGATTTAAGTATTTCCTTTAAGATTACAATAATTAGTCAATAAGTTAAAAAAGTAGAACTTGATCTAAGTTTGAATATGTGTCTACAGCTTGTCCCAAAGCAGGTTGCTGCTTCCACAAACAGTAATTTTTTAAATATATGGATTTTATTTAAGTTATAAGATTGTATTATTTTATGATACAGGAAATTTGCAGGCATGGATTTAAAGGCTTATAAAAGGCAACATATATCATACCCTAAACTAGATGATTAGGTAATCAGGAAAATAGACCAAGAAAAGATTAAAACTAAGATATTTCATCAAAATTAAAATTGTAATGTTCACGTGTGAATATGACATTATTTCAAGACCAAAATTGATATGACAATAAAAAATAATTTTTTTAGATATTTAAGAGACATTTATGGAGTATTTTACATAATTCTAAATTTCAAAGATATAAAAAAATTCAAATTGTTTCAATTTCGAATGTCATTTTATTGATAATAGGTAATATGAAGGAAGGAAATAGCTTTTGATTATAGAATGATGGATTTGCTTCTCAATGTGACCAAAACTTTAAGAGGCAAGAGGAGGTGCAGGATAACATGGTGGAAAGCACAAAGATCTTTTTAGTGCCTCATTGAGGTGAGTTTGTCTGACTGTCCTTTAGGATTTGAAAAAATGAAATTCATCTCTTCCAATGTTAATTTTCTCATTGACAGAGGAATGTGTTAACTAACCCATTTTTCCTTCAAAGAATTATAATGGCAATTAAATAAACAAACTGACTAGCATAATAGTTGCCTAAGATCATCAGAAAACACAGATAATTACATTATGAAGTCTAACAGTGGAAAACTTATAGTTAGGTAGTAGCAACAAAAATAATTTTATGGTTGGGGATCATCACAACATGAAGAACTGTATTAAAGGGTCACAGCATTAAAGGTTGAGAACCACTGGACTAGTATAATCAGAAATGGATAAACTGTCCATGTTGTCCCTTCACAGATAGGGACAACACAGACATCCATTTCTAAAGGTTAGGAGAAATACTTCATTTACTATCTCTATTATAGTAATATAGGACTATATAAATACAATCAGATTATATCAACTAAAAATTCAAGGCACATTTTTATACAATTTATTTCTAATAAATATTTTTGAACCATTCATGACATAAAATATTTATCATTGAGAACAGAACTTTAAGACATCTGATTCCAAGTCTGAGAGCTGTACGAGCTGCCACAGAAACCAGTGGTAGAGACTGGAATTCCTACTTAGGTCCTGTATTGTAAGGACAAAGTTTTACTTCTGTTTTGTTTATGTGCATCTCTGGTTAGAAAAAAAAATCTAATAATCATTTCAAAGTTCCAATCAATCCAGTATTGACAAGTGTTAATTCTCCTATTTATCTAACACGAGAAGTTCCCTGACTGTTCATGCAATGAGATAGCTTTCTGCCACGTTCTCTCTCACTCCAAAATCATTTATTTCTAAGCTCAGAGCTTGTACTGGATGTAGAGGTCATAAAGAATTTAATTTTTTCAAATTTGAATTTTCATCTGTTGATTTTAAATTTCAAAAGTTTAACTAATGTGGTTTTCAGAATCTTGTGATGTAACATACAAGTATAAAATACATCGTTACATAAATGAATTGAAGCAATACAGACACATTGTGTACATGCATGTATATTATAGGCACTTAATTAAAGAGATTAGTACAATATGGCGTAGACAGCAGTACAAAAGGTTTATTATAGGAAATGAAACTTAATCAGGGCATTTATAGAAAAGGGATGTGAGTAAATCACAATGGTAGGAAAATATAGTTTGGTTAAGGAGCATGTTTTTATACACAAGAAAAAGGAAATTACATTTTAGAAGACTTGGAATATAACCTTAAAAGCTTAGACCTTATTTTTATGGGGGGGAATATAAAAATATCCAGCAATTTTCAAAGGTTCCTAATACTTTTCTCATGGAACTCTGACAAGTTCAGAGCCAACATTTGTCCTCTGGACTTTAACTTTAACAGCATCACATGTTTATTATAGAAAACACCAGGGAGCAAATCCAGGAGAAACTGGTAAAACCTGAATCTCACGTTCTTGAATATTTTAGGAGGCTAAAATGGAAACCATTGAAGGAAAGTTGCAAGCTCTATGTGGCTGTACAGGATAGGTGTGAAAAATGGTACAGAATATGGATCAGCAAACTTCAAAAAATGTACGCAGAGACCGCTTGTGGGCCATGCGACTTTTTATTTATTTATTTATTTATTTATTTATTTATTTTTTGGTTTTTCGAGACAGGGTTTCTCTGTGGCTTTGGAGCCTGTCCTGGAACTAGGTCTTGTAGACCAGGCTAGTCTCGAATTCACAGAGATCCTCCTGCCTCTGCCTCCCAAGTGCTGGGATTAAAGGCATGCGCCACCACCGCCCAGCTGCCATGCGACTTTTTGATTACTCATTTCTGCCTCTGAAATGTAAAATCAGCCTTTGAAAACATATCAGTGAAGAAGGATAACTATGCTCCAATAAAAGCTTATTGTGGAAATTGAATTTCACAGAATTTCTCTTCCTGCTTTATGAGTAGTAGACGCCAAGACAGATGTCAAAAGTGACACAAATCACCTGGAGCAGGGACGGTGGGCAGTATGATCAAAGGGATGACTGGTAGAGTAGAAAGTTCAAGAGCATGAGCAAAGGCAAGTCACACTGGACACTACAGGGAGATTGGGAGGGCCTCACAGCAACCAGCTTCCTGCCAGGAACATTACATTTGTACAGTTTTAACTTCTATAATGGGCTTCATTAGTAAGAGGGTGTCTGAAACTGTTCAGATTACAAGAGGGTCAAATGTATGTGCTTATTGTATATGTGTATTTTTATACAACTATAATGCCATATTGTATATTTTGGGAAGCAACCTGATTTTCAAAAAAATATATTAGTATGATATAAACATTTTTCATATCAGTACCTATACTCACAAGATGAGTAACATTGTTATATTTTTAGTGACACACACCCTCACACTCCCTGTGGCAATGTTTGGAATTGCTCATTCACTCGTCTTTACATCGTCATTGCTACCATAGGAATTCTTAATTTTCACCTTTCAGTTATGACGTTAATTCCTCTATGGCACAGGGTTTGGTACCGAAAATCACCATTTAAATGTGTTTGAGGGTATTCTATTTTAACAAAAGACATCATAAATTAAAAATATCCCCAAGAACTATAAAAGATTATTTTCACACTAGTTAGAATAAAGTTTAAAAATGGTCAAATCACAGCACTGACAAAATGAGAAAGCATTGAATTGTCATTGACACAGTAAGTCAGGTTTATAATTTCTAAGAAAACCACAACTCTTTCTCCTTTAAGAGAAAACACAATGACTACTGAACTAACAGGACATGATTTGAAATGTACACTGAAACAAAGGGTGAGAGAGCAGGTACATGACAATAATGATCTGGAATATCAAAAATAAAATTATGAAAATTAAAAATTAAAACATCAGATTGCATTTTCATAACAAAAAATTGCATGCATGTTGAATGTGTTTTTATAAAAAACACATTACTAAGCACTCATGAATGGATTTAACTCAAGCATCGTGACTTAAAAAAAAAAAGTTATTTGCCTAACCTTTATAGAACTTACTCTGATAGGAAGTACGGATCCGTTTCGTTAAATCAGGATAAAAGTTAGACAGCCCACGCATGCAAAAGTTGTCTTTGGAACATGCCAGAGCATCAGCATCAGCAGCAGGCAGAGGAAAGAGAGAAAATAGTCTAAAGTGAAAGGAAGTGATATCATACAGAATCTAGAACAGCCAAGGTGGAGAAATTGTAGCAAGATTAGGCAATCAAATTAGAGAGGAGATATTTTAAAAATAAATCAACTAGAAAGGTGATAGATGAATGATGGGAATGCTGTAGCCATTTTATTTAACCACATATCTTATAAAGCTGGTGGCATATTCTTCTTACATGTTTCTACCATGGTGGAATTATTTCATTTGTAACACTATATAAAAATATTTTGTTCATGTTAAGATTATTATATTTAATCTTTCATCAATTTTTTTTTTAATTTTCGAGACAGGGTTTCTCCGTAGCTTTTGGTTCCTGTCCTGGAACTAGCTCTTCTAGACCAGGCTGGCCTCGAACTCACAGAGATCCGCCCGCCTCTGCCTCCCGAGTGCTTGGGATTAAAGGCGTGCGCCACCACCGCCCGGCTCTAATCTTTCATCAATTAAAAAGGCAGCTTAGATACCTTAGTTTTTGTTCTGTAATAAAAAGTATGCGCTCACTGTAGTTATATTATAAAATAAAATAGACGTTGAGTTTAGAACTTCATCAGTTTTTATCTATATTTAAGCTATCAAAATTCTAATCTGTAATCATTATGGCTGAAACTCAGCGGGTTTGAACTACATATGCTTTCCTAGTCAAAACATTCACTTTTCTATACCTAAGAGGATATCAGACAAATCACTGACGTGCTGGCAGAGGATCTACAGCTCTTCTGAACAATAGGAACTTCCATCCTTGGAGCAGCAGCTTCTCATTACCTGCCCCTTATAGCTTCCTGTCTTAAACACTCTGAACTTTCAAAAAGAGTTGCCTCTTCTCCAAACATGAGGCAATAGCCCTTACTCTGGTTATCTTTCAAAAGCTAGCAGTGACAAGAGGCAGAATCTGCAGAACTAAAATGTCCAGGATACTAAGATAATACTGAAAGCTGAGGTCCCAAACCAAAGCCTGGCAAGCTCTGAAGGACAAATGCTGTGCCGCTGCAAAGGGTCTAAATCAGCAAGCATTAAAGTCTACAAAGAAAAGTTAACGAAGCAGAATGCCAATCAAACACCATTGGTTCAAATGGGAAATTCAGTTAATGTTAAAACGGACCCTTTCGCAAATGGAAAATAACAACTACCATATATTATAAAATACTCTTTCTATGGGCATTTTTAGTAAAGGTCTCAATATTCAGTTAATTATTGGTAAAGTAACTAACTAGATAATAAAAATACAAAAATGAATGGATGTTAAAGCCACTCATAAAGATATACTGAAATCCTGTAAAATTTTGGGTAACTCAGGCTGCCACAGTTTGACATCATGTCTTAATTAAACCTCACATTTCATTTCTCTTCCAGTTAAGCTACTTGTCTTGTCCTGCTAAGAAAAATTGCCATCTTTCACTGCATTGAAAATATCAGAGAATGGTATTTATTATGTTTATAAACATATGTCCAATTTAGTCATCAGTAAAAATAAAAATGATGGTCACATTATAGCTACTTAAAAATGAAAAGTGATAATGACTTTAAACTGTATTTGAAAGAAGTGAGACATTTTAGAGGAAAGTTAAACTGTTTAAGTCCAAAGATTTTTAACAGCTTTTCATAACAAGAGTCCTAATTTTTATATCAATAGGTTCTTATTTTCTGTTATTTCTTAAAAATCCTACCTAAGAAACTTAAGATGCTTCCTAACTTCAACAGCAAACTGAACTTTAAGCACTGCTCAGTCCTGTTCAAAGGTTATTGCTGTTTTTTCCCAGTTCGTTTATTTACATGTTGAGTCAGTATTTCCATGCATTTGGATGGCATCATGCAAGGAAGACAATCTGAAAGAAAACAAGTGAACAATTGGAGTTCAAAACCCATCAAGTTTGTCTCCTACCTGCAATGAACTGCTTGTTTTTTCGAGGAGACCGGGGCTGTCGCTGGTACAGGTCACTAGATCTATAGAGGTCAATGGTTCCCATACTTAATAGTACTGTCTTCTGTATAAAATCCACCACAACCAACCCAGTGCAGTTTCCAAATGCGACTCTGAGGGGAGGAAAAACAAAGAACCAAAATGTATCATAAGCATGATTATTTATCTTTAAGTTAAGTAGAAGATTACTGGAAAATAACCTAAGATTGGGGACATGAGACCATGATTAGTGATTTAAAGTCAGGAAATAAATCCACTGTGCATAGAATAGATAGATTGAATATAATAACCATGATGGATTACTGCAAACAACAGAGATCATCTGCAGTCATTCTGAATTACAAGTTTTATCATTTAAGCTGTGATCAGTAACATGGTCTTTATCTTGATTTTATAGTTTTACAGAATGACAAAATTCTTTTCCTATGCAAAGGGTCATAGGTCAAGAAATCGACACACTAAATAGACACAGATGCTTAGGTAACAGTCAAATGGTTTTTGCAAATAAGATAGTGATTATTTTCTTCCAAATTAATAATTATCTTTTCCTTTGAACCCATTCCCCTATCCGTCCTCTGGTTTCTTCTTCCTCCTCCTTCCTCTCCTCTTCTTCCTTCTCTCCTCCTCCTTCATTTTTAGAACAGGGACTCCCTAGGTATCCAAGACCTCCTTGAACTATAATCTTTCTACCTTTGTCTTCCAGGAGACAAGGTGTGCACCACTACATTTGGCATATAACTAGGGTTCGATATCAGGTAGGTTTAAAGAAATACAGATTAATTTATAAAAAACAGAAAAAATGTAATGAATACATACATAGTTTTTTAAAAAGTCAAGTGCTTGCTACCAAAATAATAAGAACGATACCTTGGAGACATCTTGGGAATTGTTAAGGCTCTATCTGTCATAGGTTCCAAGATATAGACATATAAATTAGAGTCCAAATTAGTTTCAAAGATTTTTATATGGCATAATCTTTTCAGAACAGAAAAATAACCACTTAACCTAAAACCATTGGAGAAACTTAGCTGGCAAGCCACCCAGAGACAGCTGTAAGCATGGTAGAAGTAGGCCCAAATTAACTCAATAATAGCAGACCTTGTTAGCCAGCAATGCTGGGTGTGAAGACAGAGCACACGAGTTTCAGAGTTCTGGAGGCTTCCACCAAGATATCAAGAGGAAAGCCCAGAAAGGCAAACGTAAGGCCAAGTCAGAGTCCCTGTAATCATCTCCTAACAGGATGATATAAGAATCTATGAAAGTGAAGCTGAAGCATCTATTGAGACCCAAAGAAAGTAAGGATGCCAAGAGTCTTCTGTTGGTAGCTCTAGATGACAACCAAAGCCACTATACTTGGCCATTTGGGATTGCTAAATCAAGGAGGTACGACATCCAAAGTTCTCCTGAGTATCCTCAGTGTTGAATACAGAGCAATAGAAATTAATGTTTTCTTTATTGGGTGAAAAGTCTTGCTTTGACTCAATCCTTCCTTTCCTATGTTCTTATTACATCTCCTTGAACTGGGAATGTTTATCCTGTTCTTTGTTTCTTGGAAGTATGTGACTTATTGTGGGAACTCAAAAATGTGAGCTTATTCCATCTTGTCTGAAGGTCAGAGAGTTTGAGCTTATTTTGCTCTTTCAAAGTTGTTGACAACAGGTGTGACTACAAAACAAGATATCCTGACCTAGGGTGTGGTTACTTGGTGTTTTGGACATTAAGATGGACCATAGAGGTAGATCTGCTCCATTCTGACCAAACGTCAGAGAATTCAGGCAAACTTTGGCTCCTTCTTTTGAAATAGGAGGTTTGACTTAGGGAGTGGCTGTCTGCAGGATACTTGGTCTAGGGTGAGTTCACTGCCCCAAATAAATACTTTGCTCAGGAATTAGTGGCTTGATGACTCAAGTATTGGAGCAGGTAACTGTTATGGTTGTCCTTTGTATCATGTTAGAGCAGTCTTTGCCTTCTTCCACCTTTTTGCATTGGGGTATAAACACACATGAAAAATAAGGGCAGAGGTAGTTCAGCATTCAGTATTCACTGAGTAACCCTCCCAGTTATTATCCTGTGTTTCTTTCTGACATCTGTTCCCCCACCTAACATTTCTAATCCTCACTCTCCTACCCTGGAGTGTATGAACCCACTGTGACTGGACCATGGCAGAAGTTACCCCCAAAAGGGGACTGTCAACAACTTATCTTTATTATTTGTACAAGTTTACAACTAAGTTTTTCAGAGGAGACTTTAGATTGGGACTTTTGAAAACTGCAGAAATGGTTAAGCTTTGGGGGGTTTCTTGGTGATGGACTGAATGTAGTTTTCATTATAAACGAGATATAAGCCTTCCTGATCCAGGGGTAGACTACTCACTCTATCTTGGGCCAGAAAGTCCCTGAATGGTTCACATAGTAAAGGCTTGATTTTAAGCTTGCACTTCTGGGTGCTAATGGAAACTTTAAGAGGTAGGCCCTCCTGGGGGATGTAGATTATTTGTATGTTCTTGAAAAAAAGAGTAGGATTAAGTCCTTGTTCTTCCTCTTTTTCACTTCCTGGTCACTAGCAAATAAGAATATTTGCTCTATGACATGCTCTCCACAAAGATGTGGCACTTTGGCATAGGCCCAAAACAAACAGAGCATTGACTGAAACTTCCAAATTGTGAGATTTTTTCCTTAAGTTGATTATTGTAGATATTTCCTTATAATAATGGAAAGATAACTAATGGATAGAGCTCAAAAGATGCTGCTAATAGATAAAAACCCTGGTTTCTGGCCCAGAGAACTGTTCTTTTTCTGTTCTTTCTTCACAAATTCCTACAATCATGGCATATTAATTTACTAGTTTGTAAGGTGAAAATCTCCAACCTTCACAATCTGATTAAACAATAGCCTGTGGCAAATTATAAAGAAAAGCAGACGATTAGAAACTACAATCACCTAGATGTTGGCGAGGCAAATCTTTTAAGGCAAATCTTTTAAGAGTATTGTAATTGTTTCCAGAAAAGACCAATGGGGCAATATTCACCCCTAACAGAAACAGTATCACCCCATTTGTGCCAAATACAATAAATTTCAAGGATACAAAGTTAATAGAAATAAGTCATTAGTTATCCTATACATCAATAACAAATTTTGTCATCCTATACACCAATAATGAAAGCAATCCAGTTCATAATAGCTATTTTAAAAATCTAAAAGGAAACAATAAAGGAAGTTAATGGCTTCTACAATGAAAACCACAGAACTTTCATTAAAGAAATTGCAAAGGGGGAGAGAGGGTTGGGGATATGGCTCAGTAGATGTACTGCTTGCCCTGTATAAAGTCAGTTATATTGGTAAGTTGGTAATATGTTGTTTAAGTTTGTTAAAAGCAGACTCTGGGGAGTATAGAGGTCCTCCCTCGTCTCAGACTCCGTTATGTTTTTGTCAAGCATTCTGTAAAGTCCCTATCCTGGATAAGGCTTCCTCCCTGGCTCTGTAAAGGGGAAAGAGAAGCAAATAGTTCAAGAACAAAAACATTATGCTCTTGAGAGCCATAGAGGTTACTATTGTTATCTCACAGTATAACAATGCTTAAAACAGGAACAGCAAGCCAGAAGTTGGTCCAGGGAGAGAGGACTCAACCTGGAACTCTTGGAACTGACTGCTTCAACTTCCCCAGCTGATTTTTGCTTTATGTGACTAGGTCCTTGATTTGATGATACTACTTTTGTTTGCTCTCCCAAACCAGGCTACTCTTGTAGCCTTTGCTGTATGGTGTAAACTGATTTGATGTTTTGCTATCCATCTGTTACTTCTATCTATTTGTATTTCATGTTTTTTTCTTTTATTTGTACTTGCTACATACTTAATAAACTCACTTATTCAAAGCAAAGCACAGCTATCATGGATCATTCTCTGGACCAGAGAGAAGACTCTGCGAGCATGAGAACTGCAGTTCAGACCCTCAGCACCCATGTAAAAGCTGAGTGGGTGTATAACCTAAGAGCTCTGGAGGTAGTGACTGGATCCCCAGTGACTGGACAGATGGGATGATCTTATTAGCTAAACTGGCTACCTCTGGGATCTGTGAAAGACTGCCTCAGCGAATACAGTAAAGAGTGATTGAAGAAGGCATGTTAACTCTTGGCCTCCATGTGCAGGTGTGCCCTCACACATTTGGACATGTATACATACACACGTGTCCACACACACACACACACACACACACACACACACACACAGAGAGAGAGAGAGAGAGAGAGAGAGAGAGAGAGAGAGAGAGAGAGAGAGGGGTAGAAAAGTAGAAAGACCTGTTAGATTCTTAGAATGGAAGAACTAACATTATTAAAATATATGTCTTAGCTGCAGTAATAGTTTTAATATCAGAGAGGGCTCAGTAGCTAAGAGCACTGACTACTCTCTCAGAGGATACAGGGTCAATTCCTAGTAACTTCTGCAATTCCAGTTTCAGGGTATCTGATACCCTTGTCTAGCCTCCACAAGCACAGAATGATGTACTGAATTTTACGTCCTACAGAATCATAGTGGTCAAAATAAGCCTGACATAAAGTGACATGTCACCCAACAAAAGAGGGATCCCAGAAGTCAATGTACATGTATTCAAGGTGGAAAGACAACTTAAACAGTCAACAAAGGAACCAAAAATCTATAGTGAAGAAAAGACAGCCTGTTCAATAAGTAGTACTGAGGAAACTTGATATCCACACAGAATACTGAAAAAAAAACCACTGCATTTCAGCCTGTATTCAAACCACTTCAAAATAAATGAGAAACCCAAGTGTAAAACCTGAAACTCTGAAAATACAGGAATATAAAGGAAACACACTGGTTCAGGCAATATTTTTTCTAGTTAGAGCCTAAAAGGAATAGTAAACAAAAGCAAAAGTTGACAAATGGAAATAAATAAGATAGAAATGCTCACCAATTTGACTACTACACATTTTATATAGCTAATGAAATATTACTAATTCCATATATATGTGTGATTGCTGTATTTTAATTAAAATGGAAAAACAAAAATAAAAAATGTGGGTGATACATTCTAAACCATCTTGAAATACATTTTAAGATGTTAACATTAATGATAACTTTTAAAAAAGAATAGTTTCTCTGTTTTTCAAGGCAAGTGTGAAAACTGCATTTAAAATTATAATCACAAAGTAAGCAGACATATCACAACAAGATATTGGAAGAATGATTTAAAGGCAGTTTTGAGATAAATGGGCCGACACGATCATCACATTCCTAGAGTGTGAATGTTTAGAACATGGAACTCATCACAATAGGGACATTAAAAGACTAAGGAATCTTGGTGTGTGGTGTGTTTCTCCTACTCATACTCTTTAACAGTGGTTCGTATCAATTTCACGTATGACTCCAGTAGCCTCAGGTGCATTGTGGGACATAGTAACTGTCCCCGAGGAGTACTCAGGTCACAAAACTTGATGATATCCAATTCATGATGGCACATGAATTAAAAACGTGGGTTTGCTCTCTTCACCAACATTTCTAAGGAAGTCACTCTAGGGGCTTTGGGTCCTAGCCAGAAAACTGACAAAGAAGAGCAAGAAAGCACCTATGAGGGCAATGATTCCTGGAGTGTAATCTCCCTACTAGAGAGTAAACTACTATCTACCTTAGCATCAGAGAGTTTCAGGCATGAGATGTCAGCCCATTAGAGATGCAATACCAACTATTCTCCACTAGCAGCAAGGTTACTCTAAACCTTCAGGCCCAACTATGCTTCATTGTATTCAAAAGGTGGAATATGAAGTCAAGTTATTAACCAGACTTCAGATTTAATGTTTCCACGTCATATTTTGTTTCTAGTTGGAATATAGTATGCTCCCCCACTTAATATTTATGGATTTTGGAATGGTGAGACAAATAATTGCCATTTTATTTTGGAAGTATTTAATTTCATAGGATCGTGGCTAGAGAAGAGCTTGACTCATGAATCATAACTTTAGGTAGGTGAGTGAAACATTTAGGTAGCAGAGTCTACCTCTCGATGAACCATACTTTGAGTCTTATACCTATCTGTTGAGATAACATCTAGATGAAACTTCAATCTGAAATGTTATAGACTAATGCTGAAATGCTAAGACTTTTGATGCTGTTGTTGAATAAAGGTTATTTTACAAGTGATAAATATATGAATCTTGGGGAATTAGGAGCAAAAAGCTATGGTCTGAATTTCTGTAGCTCCCCCAAATCATGTATTCTATGTGCTAAAATTGACTTACAATAGAAATACTTTCAATTTTGAATTAGTGAATTTATTAGGTTCATGGCAAGCAGAAGTGAAAGAACAAACAGGCATAAGACAGATTATGGAAACACCATCAATTCAGTTCACAACATCAAGAAGAGAACATCCAGGAGTACCCCGCTTGAGAGAACAAAGATAATATAAAGTTTAGGGCTTCTCTGACAGACATCATCTCAGGAAGCTGAGGCAGTCAGCTGGAGCTCCAGATTGTACTTCCTCTTTCTGGATGAGCTCCTGGCTTCTCACTCCCACTGAAGACATTGAGAGTGATAATGAGCAGAAGCTGCTGTTGAAAATGGTTTTTCTTACTAGCTGTTCTCAAGGACACAGTGTTTTCAGAACCCTTTGCTGGTTGCTTTTTTCCAATGCCACAAGGCTATTGAGCCAGCCTATCCCTTGTCTAGGAGCATTTGGAGAAAAAAATGCTTAGGCTTGAAATTAATTTAGAGAACACATCAACCATTTTTCTCAGAGCTAGCTTCTCAATAAGCTTAAATGGCACATGGCAATTAATAACTATAATATAAATTATCAAGGATGTTTAATGTAAAACCCAAAGGTGATAGTATTGAGATGTGGAGTCTTTAGGTCTTGAGGATATCCATCTCACATATGAGATCAGGTCCCTTATAAGGAAAGAAAGCTTGTTTGCTGTATCTTCTACATGAGAATGCAGTCAGATGCCATTTCTAAAAGAGTGAGCGTTTGTCAGACATTGAATCTGCTCAGGCCCTGATCTTAGACTTCCCAGTCTCTAGAACTGAGGAATATACTTCTGTTGTATATAAATTACTCAGTCTAAGGTGTTTTATTACAGCAGCCCAAGTAAACTTTTATATATTTAAAACTCAGAGGTGAAATGTCTGTCATGTCACCATAAAGTATAGTTCTTGTTGCAACATATTAGAGTAAGAAAAAACTGTCTTCATATTCTTAGCTAGAAGCTTCTTTTAAACTCACCATGGGTATTGAACATCATCATGTGTGTATATGCGTATGTGTGTTTTGTTGTTTGAGAACTCTGTACATGTATACAATGTGTTTGGATTAAGTCTATCCCTCATACTCTCTGCTCCAATTCTTCTACCATTAATCTTACCATTTCTTCCCAACTTCAAGTGGCCATGCTGTTTTGACCTCCGAGTCTATTCAGTACTTCCAGTATGTGACTGGGGCAACTCTATCTGCTGGGTCATGGGCAGATTCTCATATGCTTTTTGTTTTTGCATCCCTGATATTATCATATGATTTTTCTACTTTATTCTGTTAATTTGATAAATTGCCCTGATTCATTTAAAATGATAAAACTATCTCTATTCCAGATATTATTGAACTTTGGTTATGAAAATTTTTATAAGTTTTCTTGATAGATTTATTTATATTTTAGTAGAATTTTTAATTCATACTGCTCAAGTCATAGACATAATTTTCCATTCTTGTAATAACATTTTCAAGTCCTCAAATTTATGTTAACTCACAAAATGAAACAAGTATTATTTTATCTTTCATAAATCTCAGAAAGATTCTGTATAATAAGTATACTTATTCTTTAATATTTTGTGGAATTCACTTTGATGATGACTTGAGGTGGGAATGTTTTTTTTTTTTTGAGACTGAAGTTCTATAAGGCAATCACCCTAGCTGTCATTCTCATATACTCTTCAGTGGAATTCCAATACACAGAAATTATTCCTCTAATGATTTACTCTAATTCTCTTCAGTTCCTGAACTGAGTGGCATGTCTCCACAACCTTTTAAGTTCTTGCTCCTGCCCTGGAAGGCCAATCATCTGAAAAGGGTATCTTGAAACTGCTTGAATTCACCCATCTTCAAGGTAACTGGGGCAGAAAATAATACCTGCCCTTTCCACATCAAGTAATGCGGATGGATTATACCGTTCAAGTACCTTACAACTGAGATCAGAAATACCCAAGAAGAATGAAAGAGTCAGCTCTCATGAGAAACCTAAACTTGCTCTATTTGCAAGTGTACCTGAAGCCAAGCTCTGCAGGCAGATCCACTATCAATTAAACAAAGTATCAGTGATCTCTACAAGACTGGTCAAAAGAAGGTACCCAAAAGTGAAACATAAGGGACAAGAGGCAGAAAATCCAAATCAATCCAAAAAGAGAAATCTAAAGTAGGAACATTGCCACTAATATGAAGTCAAGGAAAAGAAAACAAATAAAATAATCATAGCATAAGTTTAATTATTAATATATCATACTATGGTCAATCTAATAAAAACTGAACTAAGGAATTTCTTTTAAGTCTTAATATTTTAAAAGAAACATTTGTAAACTGTTTAAAATTCTGTAATACTGACCAGAAAGAAAGTTTAACCACTTACATTCCATACGCTGAGCTTACAGCAAGGCTGGTAATCTGTTGAGGAGGCTCACCATCCACCCACACCAACTGAATAACAAGATCGGCTTGATAGCCCGGCGGCATCCGCACTGGCCGTGTTTTAACACTAGAAGAAAGAGAAAGCATAATTTTAGCACATACAGCTTTAGCATGCTCATGTGCTTTAAGAATTTACAAAGAATCATGTTTCCAAAATATTTAACACTGGAGGCAAAAACACAGATGAGAGTTACTAAGTGCTTCTCAAGTCAACTCTATTACACATTGATAATTGTTAATGCTAACTTCATCTTCACACCAGACATTTATTTCACTGGTTTTCTTCTGTTGTCTTTATCTCAAATTCTTCTACATTTTATAAATGTTTAGGTAGTTAGAAGATTTGTATTCTCGTGATAGGTCTTCTTAGGAAACAATTAGGTTTACAGTGACATTTTAAATGTTCTGTTATTTTATTGGTTTTCACTTTCTTTGAATTGACTTAAATGAAGTAAAGTGTTTTGAAGGAAAATTTAAGGTAGAAATGGGCTTGCAAGGTAGTTCAGAAGGTAGAGGTACTTGCCATCAAAACTGAAAGACCTGAGTGCGTCATTCCCATGACCCACAAGGTAGAAGGAAAGAGTAGATTCATACAGGTTGTCTTTTGACATTCACATGTACGAAATAAAGTGTGTGTGGGTGACTGTGTAAATGCACACTGATATGGAAGGTCCTTCTGTCTATGTGTTGCTTTTATTGGTTAATGAATAAAGAACTGGCTTGGCCTATAGCGTGGGAGGAGGAAGGTGGAGTCAGAGAGAAGTGATGGAGCTGCCGCCAGAGTCAGACATGCTGAAACTTTGCTGGTAATCCACTGTCACGTCGCCATATACAGATAATAGAAATGGGCTAAATTAATATAAGAGTTAGCCAATAAAAAGCTAGAGCTAATGGGCCAAGCAGTGTTTTAATTAATACAGTTTCTGTGTGGTTATTTTGGTTCTGGGAGGCCAGGAACTAATAGGAAGGCCTCCTCCCAACAGCACACAAATAAATGTAAACAAATACATTTATAAACTTAGAAGAGCTTTTTGCTGTGTGGCACATTTACACATAAGAGTATAACTCTGGTAAAAAACAATGACATTTTGAGTTTTGCATGCAAATGGATGGAATTAGAAAACACTATCCTGAGTGAGGTAACCCATATCCCAAAAACGAATACAGTATGTATTCACTCATAAGTGGATATTAGCCATAAATAAAGGACATTGAGCCTATAGTTCATGATCCTAGAGAAGCTAAGTAATAAGATGAACCCAAAGAAAACATATATAGACCCATCTGGGAATTGGAAACAGACAAGATTGCCTGATAAAGTTGGGAGCTTAGGGGTGGGGGTAGAAAAAAGGGGAGAAGGGGAGGGCTGAGAACATAAGGGAATGGGATAGTCAAGAAGGAGGAAGGACAGAGATGAGAGCAAAGAAAGAGATATCTTGATTAAGGGGGCAAGAAACCTGGCTCTAGAAAACTTTCCAGAAATTCACAAGGATAACCCCAGCTAAGACCCTAAACAAGAGAGGGTGCCTGAACTGGTCTTGCCCTGTAGTTAGACTGATGATTATCTTAAATATCACCATAGAACCTTCGTCCAATAACAGATGGAAACAGAGACAGAGAACCACATCGGAGCACTGGACTGAGCTCCCAGGGTCCAATTGAAGAGTGGAAGGAGTGAGAATATGAGAAAGGAGGTCAAGACCATGCGTGGTTCACCCACTGAGACAGTTTGCCTGAGCTAATGAAAGCTCACCAACTCCAACTGGACTGGGAGTAAAAGAGCATGGGAACAAACAAGTCCCTCTGAAGGGGGGTGTTGACAGTTGGGGCAGACTGAGGGGGGCACTGATAGTGACACTGGGATTTGTCTCTACTGCATTACTGGCTTTTGGGAATTCTATTCTCTTTGGATGTATACCTTGCTCAACCTAGATGTAGTGAGGAGGGCCTTGGACTTGCCACAGGGCAGGGTGCCTTGCCCTTTTTGAGGATTAGAGGGGGAGGGGTGGGAGGGTATGTGGAGGGAGTGGGAGAAGGGAAGGAGTGGGAATTTGGATTGGTATTTTTTAAAGTAATAAAATAATAATAAAAGAGCTTTTTCTAACTAAAATTTAATGATTTTTTTGCCTGTAGAATTTTTCTCGAATTAATTCATGCTTATATTTCCTTTTACATTATTTGTAATAGTCAGAACCTGGAAACAACCTAGATGCCCTTCAATGGAAGAATGGATAAAGAAAGTGTGGAATATATACACATTAGAGTACTACTCAGCGGTAAAAACAATGACATCTTGAACTTTGAATGCAAATGGATGGAAATAGAAAACACTATTCTGAGTGAGGTAACCCAGACCCAAAAACATGAATTTGGGTAGTGGATTCTAGACATAAAGGTCAGTGAGCCTATAATTCGTGATCCTAGAGAAGCTAAATAAGTAGGTGAGCCCAAAGAAAAACATATAGTTATCCTCCTGGATATTGGAAGTAGACTAGATTGCCAGGCAAAAATTGGGATCTTGGGGGTGGGAGTGGGGTGAGGGTTAGGGGAAATGGGGAGAGAAAAGTGAGGAGGGGAGGATGGGGAGACCCTGGGGGAATGGGATGGCTGGGATGGAGGAAGGGTGGATATGGGAGCAGGGAAGAAGATATCTTGAAAATCTTTTAAAAAGTAGGAAAAAGCTATAGATTACTGCTAATTGTATAGTTTTTGTTGTTGAAATCTTATCTCTAAATTTTCCATACATATTTGCATAAGAAATAAAGAAACAAGCTTTCTAGAGTTCTTAAGTAATAGAGACATATATTGCCATATGGAGCTTGAAGAAAATCCTTGCATAGGCTGAATCCTCTGAGCATTTCACACTAGAAACATTTATTTGACGACATAAAAATAATAATTTATAAATGAAAAGCATAAAAGTTAGATAATTTTTGCTATGAACTTACAAACTAAGCTTTTTCATTTTATTTTTAAGCTTAACTTAGATATGAATGAGTAAAACATTTAACAACAATTAGTAATGAGAAAAACAGGTCTGGGTTTTGCCTTGCTAAATTTCTTGTTTTATCAAAGTCATGTTTTCTTTAGAATCCTTCTGGGAAAACTATAAATAGGCAAATGAATTATAAAAACACTGTGTGCCCTCTTTTTTAGAGTTATTCAAAGGAAAAAATGCCGCTTTCATAACTAATTTAACAACGAGAGACAATAACAACTTTATCTGTTACAGTGTGCAAGAATGCTATAATTAACATAGGAACATGCTTCGGCACTTGACAGTAGTTCTTACCTGAGGCACGGGATGCTGTCCTTCGTCACCCCTTCACTTGACACAGTATTGGTGCTTCCAGAAAGACTCCTTGAAGAGGGGAGTTGAGAGGAGAGATCTGGAAATGGAGGACTTGTTTCTGGCTCAGGGGTGATAATATCTTCAACATCACACTGAAGTCGTACCTCTAATGACTAAAAAAAGTCAGATTTTAATTTAGTTTAAGTTATAATAATAATAGTAACTACATTAATATATTTGAGAGTTTTAAAAACTATTCTTAAATGTTAGACCAGTAAATTCAATAACTTACACTTTGAGAATTATTTTAAGCTGAATTAAGGAGTAAATCATATGAACTCTTCAATGACAATGACCAAAAAAACCCACATAATTATTAATTCCTCAAATTGATAAGGAAGGTGCCTACTAGTGAAAATAAATTCCTATAAATATTCCTGTAATTTCTCAAACTTGTTTGGTCAACTTGACATAAGCTAAAGTCATTTTGGAAGAGGGAACCTCAACTGAGAAAATGTCCCCCAACAGATCGGCATGTAGGCAAGCCCCTTAGGTATTTTCTTAGTGATTGACCTGGGAGGGCTCAACCCACTGTGGGTGGTGCCAACTCTGGGAAGGTGGTCCTGAGTTATATAAGAAAGCAGGATGCTTCAGTATTGGGGAGCAAGGCAGTAAGCAGTGTGCCTTCACTATGTCTGTATCTGTTCTAGCCTACAGTTTCACACCCTGCTTGCGTGAGTTCTTGCCATGACTTTTCTGGTGACTGACAACATCTGGAAGTGTAAGTGTAAGTGAAACAAGTTGCTTTTGGTCATGGTGTTTAATCAAAGTAATTGAAACACTAACTAAGGCATTTTCTTATAATAAATTATAATATGGTAGATGATTAAAATAAAAGAAGAAATTGACAGTTATCCCAATGAAAGAAATTTAAACAGATATTTATAAAAATATTTAATTTATATTGTAGCATGTACATTTTGATATCTAAAAGTAGATTGAAATAATATTCATATGTCATGAACACAGCAATATTACTGAACTTATTACAATAGCAATCTCTAAACTACCAGAAGCTTTTTGACAGTAACAGTCTGAGTATCTGTTATTGAGTACATACTAATACACAGTGCTGAGGGCTACACCACCACTATAAAATCCTGATGAAATTAGCTTCAGTATTTCCATTTTGCTTTTATGTTTCAATTGCCATTTTTACACAAGAAATTACATATGTATGAGTATATATTGTACCAAGATTCTATTACTGCCTATTAATTGCTCAGAGCTATACACACAGAGAGATAATCAATGGTAAAATTAGGGTTGTGATCCCAAACCCTGGTCTTTCAGTATACAGTAAAAGAAAAATTAATTTTAGTTGAAGTAAAAAAACAAAAAGTCCTATATGAAATAATCTTTATATTCTGGTCAAAAAGGTAAATTATATAGAAAAATTATAGATATATTAACTTAGATGTAATTAATCCATAGTAACATCATTTTGCATAATCAGAATTTTGTGTAATGAATTTAGAAATTAAAAATTTGGTAATAATTATTTTTAACCATATAAAATTTTAGTAAATAAAAAACTATTTAGAGTAACCTTATTATAGTTGAGAAATAATCCTTTATGACAGCTAGTTAACAAGAAAACAATGCATTTACATTTTTAAAAGAACAAAGTCTACACTAAATTGACACATATACAGAAAGCAAAACTCTACACTATCTAATTAAATGCATATGTGCAAATACATGTTTATATCCTATACAATACCTACTTTAAATGTGTTATACACTATAATAAGGAATTTTTCTTTATAGGTAAGAATAATGCTGATATTAAAATATTGACAATTAATATTTAGGAATTGACTCTGTTCAGTCAGGTAGATACAAAATTGAAGAGAACAACATGATGTTCAATTTGTAATGAGATTAATTTTAGAATAACAAGTTCATTTTGACACTGAAGTTTTATTAGAAAGCTGCTAATTTGAAACAAACTACTTTCTAATATATTTAGTAATGGTAATTTAAAATACTACAGAATATATAGATTTTATGCTGTCTTTTGATTACTTAAAAACCATACCAAGCAATAGTTCAAATACATAATTGCCTTCTTTTAGTGACTATAAATAGGAAAGTTAAACTTAGAGTAACTTACCACAATTTCTGTTGTAATTTCATGTCTGCTGAATTTATAAATTATGACATACGCAGAGACTCCTGATACACAAAATATTCTGCTCTCTGGACACCAGTAAACCATCTGCACAGCAAATGGATCTTCCTCTACAATTTCACACGCTTGTTTGCCATCTCCTACCTTCTGCTTTTCAAATACTTTTGAAGTTTTTAACTTGTACAACATCTGTAGAGTCACTATAAAATATTAAAATGCAGTTATTTCATAATTTGATTTTAATGCTTAGACACTGTTCAAGTTTAGTCAGTACATTTGTTGAACCCACAAAAGTAAAACCCAAGTAGGGTAAATCCTGTTTACATAGCAAACCCTCAGGGTCAGGCCCTCATTGTAAGTACTATCAACAGGGAAAATATAAAGGGAATGAGAAAAAGCATGTATGAGCATTGGAATTATAAAAGCTTATAATGGAAATCAGAAGACAAACCTCTCCCAGGTAGCAGGTTGCCATGTTTTTTTTCACAATAATATCTGCAATTGCCTGATAAGAGGTTGATATAATATTTTAGATTTTTTTTTTAGACAGAATTCTTTACTTGTTTTAGGAAAGATTTCATCTGGTGTTTCTAGTTTAGAAAGGGTCAGGTATACACTGGGTTCATGGATGGTTTTCAATAATATTTACTCAGGGGAAGTTGTTTCCACTTCAGAGCACAATAAAAACAGAATTCCCCATACAAAATAAAAGATGCTTGCTCTGGGAATGGTCTTGAAGAGTTTCAAAAGCCAGAAGCTTCTGCAAGAAGGGCACAGCTTGGCTTTAACGAGAAGCAGTATTCAGTCCAGTCCAAGGCAATTCTATAAAACAATTAGCCTGCACTTTAAACATTGTCAGCGACATGAAATATTTGGGCTCACTCTACACTTTAAAGACCTTGAAATATGATCAGATTAAAAACAATGATCCTTTCTAGTTGTTTCTTTGGTAAAGGACATCATTGAGATAGCTGGTAAACGCTGAAATAGAAACTGTAGGTTAGACAACATCTTTGTGTCATATTAGTCTGGTGTGGGAAGTCCTGTATATGGGTTGCTTTTATTGGTTCATGAATAAAGAAACTGCTTTGGGCTGTGATAAGGCACAATAGAGCTAGGTTGGGAAAACTAAACTGATTCTGGGAGGAAGAAGGCAGAGTCAAGGAGATGCCATCGAGCCGCCAGAGGGGAAAGACCTGAGCTGCTAGCTGGAACCTTGCCAGTTTGGCCATAGCCTCGTGGTAAAATATAAACTAATAGAAATGGGTTAATTTAAGATATAAGAGTAATCCAGAAATATTCATAAGCTGATTGGCCAGTGATTTAAATAATATAGTTTCTATGTGTTATTTTGGGTCTGAGCTGCTGGGGATGAATAAGAGGCCTCCTACTACATTAGTCAGTTTTTTTTTGTATTTCTTATTTTCATGATTCTTGCCTCCTGGTATACATTCTCAGAAACTAAAAGTATTGCTAAGTTGTTCTTCTCTTCCTATTCTTGACTGTCTAAGGAAGTGGTTCTCAACCTGTGAGTCCGTGACTCCTGGGGGTTGATGATTTTGCATGGGTTACATATCAGATATTTATATTACAATTCATAACAGTAGGAAATTACAGTCATGAAGTAGCAGTGAAATAATTTTATGGTTAAGGGTCACCACAACTTGAGAAACTATACTAAAGAGTCGTGGCATTAGGAAGGTTGAGAACCACTGGAGTTTTAACTACCTAACAAAGTTCAGATTAGCTGTTAATTCCTTAAAATATCTTCCTACCTGAGCTGGTGGTAATTGTAATCCTAAAAAGTGATTGGCTGAGGCTTGAGGGTCGTAGAGGCCAAAATAGTTTACCTAAAAATATTCTGTCTAAAAAATAACACATACATATATAATCTTCCTTGAAATTCACTAGTTCAAATAAACCTCTACAATTTCTTATTAAAATAGCAATTGATTACAATACATTTAGATTTTTCTTAGTTTGATATGTATTTACACATGTACATGTCTTTTACTTTTCTTACAACCATGGTTTGTGAATGACATATATGGGTAAAATGAAGACTTGGGTAAGTTAATAGGCCTTTCCACATTGACCACATGCTATTCCTTAAATTACCTAATTGTCAAAAATTAAAAAGATATTTTATGTTACCAAATAATTTATGTTGCTTCTCATGGAACATTATAGAATTGAATAGGGAAGCTGAGAATGGAGGAATAAAAGCACTTGTCATATAATACGCATGCAGGACACATAGGGAATTCCTTGAACAATTAATCTGGCAAAGCTTGGCTATTTTCCTGATGTAACTTTTTTTTTTTACATAGGATTGTTGAAAGAGTGGCCATAGTATTGTTTATTTAATATTATTGAATACAGTTAGGTAGATATACTTTAAGCTGATCTAAAACACAGAAAATGAATTTTGTATCAAAACAATATAATTATAATTATGCTAATATATTTCTGAAATGGTAATTTTTCAAAATTAAAAAGTGGTAGATGGCCATGAAAAAATATTAACAAAATGTTTTCTGTTTAATGGAGATAAACATAAACTTACTTGCAGAGGCATCCCAAAATTTTATTGATCCATCAGCATGACTAGATGAAAATAATATTAATTAAAGTAAATCAAAAGTCATACTAAATACATACAACACTGAGTTATTATTGCTATCATTATTTTTAAAATATTATTGCAATGAATATTGATATATGACAAGCCATTTCTAAGTTTAAAATTATTTTTAAAAAGATATATTGGGAAAAGACAAGATTTCCTGAGTAAATTGGGAGTATGGGGGTCATAGGAGAGGGTAGAAGGGAAGAGGGAAGGAAAGAAGGGAAGTGGAGAAAATGTATAGTTCATTAAAAGCAATTAAAAAATGCTGGGCGGTGGTGGCGCACGCCTTTAATCCCAGCACTCGGGAGGCAGAGGCAGTCGAATCTCTGTGAGTTCGAGGCCAGCCTGGTCTACAAGAGCTAGTTCCAGGACAGGAACCAAAAAGCTACGGAGAAACCCTGTCTTGAAAATCAAAAAAAAAAAAAAAGCAATTAAAAAATATATACTGTACTCTGAAGACAAGAGAAAGAAAAATCTTTGATTTTTTTCTGGAAGATTATATATATCATAGTGAATAGTAAAATAGCTTATGAAATGAATAATATTTTAAAATAAAATGGTTAACATTTAATAAAAAGATAACTTGAATATTTATCAGAATATAAAAGCAAATATCTAAACTGATTAAAACTGCCATGATTAATAATTTCTACCAATTGTATACAAACTTATCTACAAAACAAAGAGTCCACAGTACTTCCCAATACATTTGGGAAAGTCAGAATTATCTGAAACCAAACCCAGAAAAAAATATTGTAGGAAAAAAGATTCAACAGTATCTTACTAAACATAGACAAAAAAATTATCAAGAAAATATGAATAAGTGAGAGAAACAAAAAGTGTAATTCCTTATAACCAAAAAAAAATGTCTTAGGAATGTAAAACCAAGCAAACATTTTAATAAAAATCAGTTGGCAAATTCTAATTATGCAGAATGAAAACCTAATTATCCAAAATAAGAAAATCCATTTGGTTTTCCCAAATGATGCAGAAAGACAGTAGACAAAAACACATCACCCATTCAGGAATAAACACGATTGATGAGGAAGAGACTTTCCTGAAGTCTCTATGATTTCCAAATAAAGCATTCTCTGTGAATCTCATCATTTTCCTATGACTTTCTTCTGCTAGTATAATCTAAGTATAATTCTTTTGTTATAATACTTTTTTCAGCAATGTGATTTTTCCTCTCATTAAAGTTAAGAACTATGGATTAAAGCTATTTCTCAGATTCTTCTTAGTTTTACTTAAATGATTCATCTTCATAGTGTATAATTTCATAAAATTGTCAAGGCTAAACAAATATTTTTATTGTTTTAAAATTTATAACATAATTTGTTATAATTTACAACTTAGAAAACTTCTAACTTACCCAGTAATAATAATTTCTGGGTAAGTTTGTGCTCCAAGATTCCAAGCTCCTCCACTTACTGGCCATTCCTAAGTAGATTATCAAGGAAAACATAGGAGTTTAATTTTTCCAGTTTAAATGCTTAAAATTTTAGAATTAAATGTTACAAAATAATAAAAATATTTAATATCACATCATTACAAAACAGGCAAAGAACAAGTGCATAGTTGTCTTCAATTTGACAAAAAAAAAATGAACTTACAGAGTCTAGAAATTGGAATAAAACCCAAGACATCCACATCAAGGTGTATCATGGCCAAACTTCTCAATGGTAAACACCAAGGAAAAGTGTTGAGAGACACAAAAAGGCACAGGCCTCCGGTACATAAAACTAAACTAATAATGAATCAAAGATTGTATATCAGAAAACCTTGAAGACAGCTAGGATTGCCAGCCAGAGCCAGGCACACAGTCACCACAATAAGAAGCAACATGTCTGAATACTTGGCTGATGCCATGGGCCAGCCCTGCCAGGCCCAGTTACTCCTTACAGCAAGTCATCAACAGCAATGGGGTACTCTGCCAGGAGCAATGCTCTGTGTGTGCACCGTGCCTCTGGCTCTGGTATGAGTTTGAGAGCCAGCAGTACTGCAAGCATCACTTCCAAATGCTGCTTGCTCCATGCTGCCGATTCTGTGGTAAGTTTCTGACTGGACACATGATAAAGGCCATGAGGTTGGTGGATTGGCATCCAGGTTCTTTCCATTGTGGACTGTTTTGTGGAGCTAGAAGACCTGAGCTTTGTGAGGACTGCTAGGATACCTCTGCCGGCCCTGCCACAATTCATCTGCCAGTGGTATTTCCTGGCCATTGGTGAGCAGCTCCTCATATACACCTAGACCACCTTAGTTGCTTCCTCTGGGGAAGGAGCTGACCTCCATCCAAACCCAAGAGCTGAAGCATGCCACCGCTCTACTGTCTGCCTTGTCATGATGATATTAAACAAACAGATCTGTAAATGCAGAATAACAACTCCTTTAAAAGTATATTTTAACAAATATTACCACTTATACAAGCTGGTAAGAGAAGTATTTTTATTTGGATAAATACAATGTTGCACCATATGCCATGTAGTATGTGTTGCCAGCAAGCTATTGTGGTATCATTTAACCCAGAACAGTAAGGAAATAGTGCTTCTTTGAATTGTACATTTTAGTTATCCTGGGCCAATAACATAAACCATATTAGAATGTTTGTGATAATTATAAATATTTGTATTTGAAATACTTTAAAGAAAAATTTCATTATGTTAGCAACAAATGTTTTAATAATTATATCTTTCAAATGATAAATTAAGGAAGAACTGATTCTCAAATTTCTTAAAATATGATCCATGTAAAAGAAACAAAGGGTGCTTATTATGACTCTGATACTTTATATATGTAGTATAAAATAAGCATGACTGATAAGTTTATCTTAGTATGTAATTACATACTTAGTGTACGGGAAATTTATAACTCCATAGGATTAGAGCTATGCCACAGTCATGAAATTCAATTTCACTCGTTACATCTTTGACAGTGTCCTCTTACAGCCTCAGAAGTTTTATTTGAGTCATCTTGTGTGCAAAATCAGACGAGAACAAAAACAAACTGTCAGATAAAACGACAAGAAAAAGCTTGACCATACATACAAATACGGAAAAACTTTACCTTATTACTGTATCCTTGCTTTTTATGCTTGACTCCTATAGAATAGAGTACTAGAATCAAATCTGGAGGGCAATCGGCAAAATATGCTGTGCATGTAACTGGTGACTCATGAATGTCCATTGGGTATGGATTTTCAAAGATTGGAAAACTAATAGATAAAGACAATATATTAGAGTCACTCTGCAAAGATAAAACAAAGTAATTTTCATAATCAAACCCTAAAATGCTTATAAACATTTATAAACTTTACTCTTTTTAGCACCATAAAAATCATTTTATTTGAATACTTTAAAATATAATTATCTATAAAACGAGATGTTAATAATGATAAAAATTAATTTCCTTTCCAGGCTTCCAACATGCCATAATGACACGCTCTGTTAATATAAATACAATAATCATATTAATCTAAAATACATACAATAAGCCTAATGTCTTAAATTTATACCATCTATTTAAATATAACTTTAAACATACCATCATACTATTTAAAGGTATAATACAATTAATATACTACAATTAATATACTGTTTAAAGATGCTTTAAATAGTAAAACATTTGTAAATTTTTATTTCTTTCAAAGAAATACATAAAAACTTTAAAACATTTGTGGTAGAAGCTATAAGATATATATGTGTTCTGGAGACTGAACTCAGGCTGTTAGGCTTGGTGGCAGGCGCCTTTATCCACTAAGCCATTCTATTAGCACAAGAGTTCTTTCTGCCAATCTGAAGTGCTGCAAAGAGCATGGTGTTTCACATCAGACAGTAGCATAGGCAAAAGCAAATGGGGAGGAGCAAATCATATTTAATTAATGACACGTGGGTAAACTTAGCAAATCATTCAGAGTCCAAATTGTTAATTGTATCATTTTTTCCTTTTTTATTGAAAATAGATTTTTTCATATAATATATCCTGATCATTGTTTAAGGTTGAGTAGTTAGGGGGAAAGTAAGAATGAATCACTTTCAAGACCAGACCTACACTTGAATTAGACCACAACAGAAAGGAACAATAACAAGCTCCTAAAATAGTAACAACACAGTGAAGGCATTTGGGAAACATTATTTTAGACTATAGGTAAAGAGCAAGCACAATATATATGAAAGAAAAACACAGCTTAGGCATTGAATTTTTTATTCTGAACCCAGAGCCTTTCTCATGTTCAGCAAGTGCTCTACCACTAAATTTCTTAGATGTAAACGTATGAAGTGAAAATAAAAGCAGAGGCGGAATGGAAGAATCAAGTGGGGAGGGGGAAGAGGAGATTGTGGGAGGATAAAAGGGGAGAGAGACTGTAAAATAAGGAACCTTTGAGGGGTAGCATGAAACCTAATACTGCAGAAACTTCCTGAAATATATACATATATGAAGGTTACCTAAATGAAATCACTGAGTTATGGGGAGACAGAGTCCCAACTGGCTAACTTTTGTCACCAAAAAAAACTTTCAGTACTGAGATTGGGTTGTTAAATTGTAGGCCAAAGGGGCCCCACAGAAATCCCCCAAACAACCCAGACTGTTGCAAGACTATAGGTTGCTCTCCACAAACTGACAGCAAGACCCCATTGCTGAAGATTGTAACATGAGCAGCTGGCTTGTTTGTTTGCTGGGGTTTCTGTCCTGCCAGGTACCCCCAGCTGTTTAGTCCCAGAGAAAATCACACATAGGTCTCCATAAATTATAAGCTGATTGGCCCATTAGCTCTAGCTTCTCACTGGCTCTCACATCTTCATTAACCCATTTTTCTGATCTATGTTAGCCATGTGGCTCAGTACCTTTGTGGCTCAGTACCTTTTTTCAGTGGAGCAAATCACATCCTGCTGCTTCGGTGGTCTGGACAGGAGTGGGAGTAATCAGCTTCCTCCTTCCCAGAATTCTCCTGTTCTCATTACATCATTTCTACTTCCTGTCTGGTTTTCCCACCTATAATTCCTGCCTAGCCAATCAGCATTTATTTATAACATGATTGACAGAATACAGACAATTCTCCCATACCAGAAGATAACATCTACACACACACACACACACACACACACACACACACACACACATGTCAAACTGGTCCCTACATAAACCTTTGCTCTACATTTCAGCATCTTTGGTACAGGAAGGTACTCTGCATGCTAGGCAAAAGAAAAATGTAAACATCAAGCCAGCTACAAACCCTTTATCTACAATGGTGTACTATGTCAAGGCAATGGTGGCACAAAGCTTGTAGGAATAACCAACCAATAACTGATTTGATTTAAGCTCTTCTCCACAAGATGGAATCATGCCCAACACTGATAGCCCAGAGACCTATACTAATCCTAAATAATACTGGTCTAAAAAAAATTTAAATGTAGTAATAAAATGACTCCTAATGATAGCCTGCTATATTTATAGATTAGTGCCTCATCATCAGAGAAGCACCGTCCTATGGTAGATGGGGAAAAAAAGGAGACCCACAGTCAGACATTATGCAGAGAAAGAGAGAACTTGGAACACTCAGCCCTAATTGGCATGTCTCCATCAAATCCCTCCCACCAGATTTCAGGGAACCCTACAGAAAAGGAGACAGAAGGAATATAAGAGCCAGATGAGGTGGAGGACACCAAGAAAGCAAAACCCCCTAAATGAGTATGATCAAAGCTCATAAGAACTCACAGAGACTGAAGCAGCATGCACAGAGCCTCAAAGTCTGCACCAGGTCCTCTGTGTATATATTATGGTTTCTAGTTTAATGTTTTTATGGGATTCCTGAGTGTGCAAAAGAGTATCTTTCTGGTTCTTAAGCCTTCTTTTGAGCTCTTTTCCTTCCATTAGTTTGTCTTGTTGAACTTCGATGTGACAGCTTTTGTTTTATTATATTATATTTTATTTTACATTATTTTAAAAAGTAAATGAATGAATGAATGGATGGATGGATGGCTAGGTAGGCACTAAGGTAAAGGTTAACAATTGGACTGTCATTTGTATCTGCTAGGAGAGGGAAAAATTAGTTTTCTCCAACAGAGTGACATTGGATATATCAACCACTCTAGGAAAGGTCTCATGCTCAAGATTAGTAGACCACCACGTAATGGACCCTACAGGTTTTTTTTTTTTTTTGTGTGTGTGTGCTTTTATTTTGTTACAGTTTGGTGAGTGTTTTTTTTGGGGGGGGTTTATTTTGTTTCTTGTTTTGGGGGCTTTGCTGTTGTATTGGGTTTTTGTTTCCTTTTTGAGAAAGAACTTAAAGTTGGATAAATGGGGAGGAGGAGAAGATCTGGAAGGACTTGGGGGAGGGGGAGAATATATCAAAATATATTTAAAGTTAAAATTGCCTTAAATCATAAAATATAATAAAAAGTTATAACTTCCCAAAAGAAAACCTAAGAACCAACAAAGATGGAAGAATTGTTCATCATCATGCTTGCCTTCATGTTGAGGAGGAATGAAAGAGTGAATGTCGAGGATGCAGTAGGAGGGGGATGAGAGGGGGAGGGAGAGGGTGGAAGAAGTAAAGAGGGAGAGAGCACTCTAAAGTTGTGACTTGTTTAACATCAATGTGGTTGAGGGAAACAAAATTTTGATATTTAAATTTGTCTAATATTCAACAATAGTGGAATTTACATAAGTTTTAATCATGCCATCAAGGTAAGAAAATGTGGTTTTTTTTGCCAACAAAATGTTTATTCACATATTTAAGATGATAAGAAGCATAAGAACAAGGTCTGGAGAAATGACTCTGGATAAGAATACTTATTTCTGAAAACAGGAAGATCTTAATCTGAATCCCCAGCACTGAGATTTAAAGCTGATCACACCTATAATCCCAGCAACCAGGGGGAAAAATGGGTCAGTCTCTGAACCTTGCCAACAACCCATCTAGCAAAGGCAGCAAGCTTCCGGTTCTGAGGAGAGTCTCGGCTAAAGGTAGTAAGAAGGATAGTGATAGGAGAGGATGCCCAAGGACCAACTCTTGGTCTTCTACTAACATGAAAATTCAGTTCATGCACCTGTACACTCACAAGCATGTACCACATACCACACACAGAGACAGAATAAGAATAAATATGTAAAATACAAGTTTTGTTTTTATAAATATTTCACTACAATAAAAAATTTAGTGTGTATATAAACTAAGAAAATTGATATATCTAGTGGTTATTAGAGGTCATTAGGCAATTAGAATTGAATTCAACATATATAACATAGTTGAACACTAATGTCAAGAAAAGTACACTTCAATAAAAAATATATTGTAATTTCTTAGAGAAAGAATAATTCAGGGCACAATGGTGGACTAGACGCTGTCTCTATATGGCCTAGAATCAGGATTAATAAAGAACAGGAATAGACTGGTGTTGGAAAGACAGCTCAACAGTTAAGAGCACTTGCTATTCTTTCAGTTCCCAGCACCTACATGAAGCAGCTTCATAACCATGAGCACCTGCACTCACATACCCACATGCATGTGCATACACGCACACGCACACGCACACACACACACACACACACACACACACACACACACCTATACATAAATGAAGATAATAAAAATATATCTTAAACATAAAATAAATGACTTTAGTCTTAAGAGATAAAGAACAGAAAAATATTAGAAACACATGAAGGACCCTGAAAACGTGAGGAAAAGATGAAATCTACAAAATCTCTGCAGCTGATAATGGGGGCATTAACTGGTACGTGCTGTTTGTTGGGGCCCAAGATCATTTGGAGTCATGAAGAAGGTACTATCTCTCCTTGAGGACAGGTGCTATAGAAACACCAAGTAGAGAGAGAAAGAGCAGGCTAAAGAGACATGGCCAGGAAAGGGGGATAAGATGGACAGAAAGATGGCCAAGGCAGGTTATGGAGATTGCAACAGAAGTTATCTTCGGGGGCCTGATATGAGATTTTCCACAAGCTCTCCAGACTCTACATCAGTGGTTCTCAACCTTTCCAGTGCTGTGACCCTTCAATACAGTTCTTTATGTTATGGTGATCTCTAACCATATACTTATTTGGTTGCTTCATCATAATTGTAATTTTCTACTGCTATGAATCATAATGAAAATATCTGACATGCAATCCCCAAAGGGCTTTCATTATATTTATTTCAGTTAATTTTAATTTACACTTTTATTCCAATTGTTGAGTGGTTTGTTGTAACTTGTACCT